AGGTGCAGCACTTTGCATTTCTCCTTGTTGAATTGCATTCTGTTGTTTTCCGCCCACATGTCCAACCTGTCCAGGTCTGCTTGCAGCTGTTCCCTGCCCTCCGGCATGTCCACTTCTCCCCACAGTTTTGTGTCATCCGCAAACTTGGACAGAGTACACTTCAATCCCTCTTCAAGTCACTGACTTGTAACCCTTCCCATGCCTACTCTCTCTACAAAGAAGCTATCAGATATAGCCAGCCTTGTTGACCATGCTTGAGAGGGTTTGGGCAGGCCTTCTTGCTCCCTTTATTCAGCTGACTAAGGGAAGCTACTTTCTATGCTTGAGGCTACAAGAAGCACCCAGACATATCCTGCTGGGATTAAGCAACCCCTAGGTCTACAGGGTCTGTGAATCCCAGGTGGCACAGGGCCCAGACAAAGACCAGACCCTGGGTGGTGGCAGCGGTACCCCAGGCTTGCAGGTGTGCTCCAGGAAGGGGGTCGGCCAGATGCAGACACTCCAGGGCAGGTGCTTGGAGCTTGGTTTTTGGTTGGATGCAGTGAGGTGGGTGGCTCAGTGCAGGAGCACCCCTACTGGCCCACCACTGTGTCCACATCCATTATGTACTGGGGGAGCAAAAACTGGACACAGGACTCCAGATGTGGCCTCCCTAGTGTGAAATAGAGGGAAAGAATCACTTCTCTCGATCTGCTGGGAACGCTGTTACCAATGTGGCCCCGGATGTTGTCAGCCTTCTCCACAACACAGTGCACTGCTGACTCATATCCAGCTTATTGTCCGCTTGAAGAGGTGTCAAAGGCTCCTGGCAGATGATGTGGTGGTTTGGTCATGGTTTGTAAGTCCCTGCAGGGGAAATACTAATTTGATCACAGACGTACTCTTCTAGTGGAACAGGTCCCAGAACTGAAAGTCAAAACCAAATTCAGGCTAGAAGCGAGGGGGAATCACCAGTGTAACCATTTACTGAGAACAGCAGCGGATGCTTCTTTATGGGAAATCTTTAAATCTAACATGACAGTGGGATTTTTTCCTCTGAAGGAGCACTGTAGCTCCAGGAGAAGGTATGCAGAGAAGTCTGTAGCCTACATGAAAGTCCCATCTGCCATCCAGTGTGCACTCTGTACAACTTCAGAGAAGGCACCGGCACTGCTCGGTGAGCCAGCACGGAAAAGGGATTTTTTGTAACAATCACTTTAATGGGACAATAGTTAGAAGGAGAGGCCAGGTCAGAGGAAAATCCCAACAATGGTCAGGGTCTACAGCCAAAGATGCAGGAGTCAAGCAAATACCAATGGGCATGTTTACACATGAATATTAATGTGCAGCAATAAACTCCAGAGCCTATTGCTTCTGGGGATGCATCTGCATGTGACCTGGGATCGCAGCACATTGAGCTGGGTTGGAGCAGCCCTGGCTGGCGTGGGGTCTGGGGGGACAGCCTGCCAGCCCAGGGCTGCTCCCCCCAGCTTGGTGTGCTGCAGAGGGGCTGTCTGGGGCACAGGTGTGCTCCCATGTGGAGCTAGCCAGCAGGCAGCCCTCCACTGAAGCACTTTCATGTTCCAGCAAGCCCCGTCAGCATCTACACGTGCGTTGCTATGGAGCAAATAACTCCACAGCAGGATAGTACTAATATTTACAAAAATTACTCTGGTGCAGAGTTCATTAGTTTTCTGTGACCTAATAGGGCTGCATGTGTAGATGCTGAGACTTTACTGCAGAACTAATGAGTCCTACTGCTAATTAGCTGTAAACATCTCATGTAGACCCACCCAGTGACCTGCATATTGCTGTCTGTGTTATGGAGTGGCTGAATCCATGTATTTGTGATGATTTAAGGGGCTCTCAACCTCCTGTCTGTATGGTTTTTAACTCTTTGGGCAGGGGCTTTGAAACCACCCATGCCGATAAAGCAGGGGACAGCAAAATATGACCTGTGGGCCAGATCTGGCCCACCAGGCTATTCCATGCAGTTCATGGGCACCAACCAACTAATTGTACCCTGCCCAGCCTGCACACCTCACTCCCACCCTTGTGCAAGGAAGGCCTGAGACCAGTCAGCACACAGCTTCCACGGGGACCTGCCTGGCTTCCTCCGTGTCCAGTGGCTCCTCCATGTCTCAGGAAGCAAATATTTTTCGTAATAAAGTTAAAATATGTTATAGCAGGTTTTTGACTTTTAGTGTGATTTCTTTTTTTTTTTTTCTGGTTTAGATGGCGAGACTCCCCTCCCAAAAGGAGTATGTCCAGGGGGCAAGGGGAGGGACTTCTTCTGGGAAAGGTCAGGGGTTAGGGGTGGGACTTTTGGTCCCAAGATGGCAACTAGGGGCAGGGCACCTTTCAAGGGGCGGGGCTCCCCTTGTGGCCCTCGATAGCTCACCATAACTCTGTAAGCGGCCCTCCAGATGAAATACTTGCCCGCCCCTGCTGTAAAGCAACTCATACTATTGGTTCCAGGCGGATTCATGCTAACGATGACACTATGACCATTCAGAATTGAAATGTGGGCAGTGGAGAATCAACCTGAGATAGAGCTCCTATGAGGAACTTGGTCAGGACGTGTCTTCCCCGCCGGGGTCTGTCACCCCGTGGGCCTGGAGTCCCAGTGGTTTGGCCACATCTGTGACACAACTGGTTCCTCCCTCCTACCTGTCACCCTTTTGGCCCCTCCACCCCAGTGGGGTGGAAGAGCAGGGCTCTTCTGTACTGGTCAGCCTCTATGTGCGAGGGGCAGTGCCATGCTGGGCCTCACCCTGTGGTTTCCTCCCATCACAGAGAAGTGCAGGAAGGAGGGCAGCTGGACCGCGAAGGTAACATTTGACTCTGAAGAGATGGAGTTTCCAGTGAATGCGACGGTGGCCGTGACGTGCAACAAGGGAACTGACCCCGGGCCGTTCAATGCAACGTGCAATATGACAAAGGATTACGGTGCAGCCTGGGACATCAGTCGTGTCAAGTGTCTCCGTGAGTGCACAAAGTCTGAGATAGTCCCTGAATCCCGGGTCCAGGGGGAAGGGCCAAAACTCCCCAGCCCTGGTGGCTCCTCCCAACCAGCTGGGACATGGGGCTGCAGCCCTATTAGTGAATGGCAAAGGCCAGGGCACAGGGCAGAGCGCAGCGAGACAGAGGGTGACATGATACCAGGGTGAGGGGAGATCCTGGGTGAAGAGCTGTGTTATCAGTCGTAGCAATGGGGAAGGAAAGCTGGGCTCCACATTTTAGCTTCTGAGCATGGGAGAAAAGGGGTATGGCCTCTGAACCAGGGCTTCCCAGACCTTCAGTGCTGGAGGCTGCATGGGAGAGAGGAACAGGGGGCTTGTCTTCCTCTTCAGTGAGGGCACGGCCCTCCTCCTTGGATCTCTCCAGTGCATTTTCACACCACTGCAGCATGGGACTTTGCAGCCCTCTTCCCCCTGCTTTCCCTGGGGCAGGCTCAGGGGCTCTGGGTGTCTTGGGCCGTGGGCCTTGCAGTTGTGCCACTGAACCATTTGAGTACATGACACCTGGACATGCTCCTTGCTCCCTGCCCCTCACCTCCACAGCCCAGCCCGTGGGGCCATCACGGCCCCTTTGTCACGTTCACAGCCGATGGGTGCATGGCTGGCAGACAGGGGTGATACCCAAGGACTGAGATCCCCTGGGACAGCACCCTTGAGCTGTGGGACTGGCCCTTTCACACTGCCTGTCCTGCCCCTCTCCCAGGGATGTGCAACACCTGGGCCAAACAGGTCGACTTCAGCTCTGCCCAGGAAGAGTTTGGTGTTGAAGCCACAGTTTGGGTGAGCTGCCAAGAGCCTTTCGAGCAGAAGGTGTTCAGCATCACTTGCAAAGAGATGAAGTCTGGGAAATTTGAGTGGGACTTTTCTAAGAATAAATGCATCCGTGAGTATGAGGCTGGCAGTGCTGGGAGCTGCTCGGCAGGGAGGGTCCTGTGAAGCAGTGGGGAGAGGGTGGCTGGAGGATGCACATTCCCTCTGCCCTGTGCTGTGGGCAGGGTGCTGGGAGCAGCCCCTAACCTTGGCCTGATCCTGTGGCAGTTGCAGTAGCGGGAGAGCAGGATTGCCCCATGGGCTGGCTCACCTGCCCTGCACCTCTGTGTGTGCCTCATTCCTCGGGCTTGTGCTCCAAGGCCCTGAGCTGTGGGCCCAAGCGCTGCTCAGGATCAGGCCCATGGTAGCCCCTGGAGGCTGCAGGATTTCAGTCATCACGAGCCCTCTTGCCTCTCTTCTTGCATACACAGGGAGATGTAAACTTCCAAAGACCTGGCGGGCCAGACCAGCGTTTTCTCCCGACAGGCAGTTCTACAGCAGAGGGGAACAAGTGGTCCTGAGCTGCCCTCAGGGCTATCGGCCACAGCCCTCTGAGATCAGCTGCATTCCAAACGGGACCCAGAATATGTGGAGTGAGACTCCCAGCTGCCAGGGTAAGTGCAAGGTGCTCCAGGCTGCAGTGATCACGGGGTCTGTCCTGGCAGCCAGAGTCTCAGTGATGCTGGGGCACCTCGAGCCAGGACGGATCCTCACCCCCAGCCGTGGGCTCGCTGCGGCCTCCCAGCCTCTCCCGAGGGCCAGTGGCCCTGTGTGAACACCTCAGTCCTGCACACTGTGGGTCTGAGGGTGCTTGCCAGCCTCGCTTGGCATGGATTCATAGATTTCATAGACATTAGGGCTGGAAGGGACCTCGGAAGATCATCGGGTCCAGCCCTCTGCCCGAAGGACAGGACATCAGCAGCAGCCATAGGATTCCAGCAAGAGAAGCATCCGATTTACTCTTGAAGGTGTTCAATGTGGGTGCTTGAACCACCTCTGGTGGCAGGCTATTTCAGACCATGGGGTCTTGGACAGTAAAGAAATTCTTTCTTATGTCCAGCCTGAAATGGTCTTGCAGGAGTTTATAACCGTTCGACCTCGTCATCCCTTGGGGCGCTCTGGTGAACAAATGTTCCCCCAGATCCTGGTGGTCACCCCTGATAAATTTATAGGTAGCCACCGGATCACCCCTGAGCCTGCGCTTTTCCAGGCTGAAGAGTCCCATGGCTCTCAGCCTCTCACTATAAGGTCTGCTTCCCTGACCTCTGATCATGCGCGTGGCTCTGCTCTGAACTCTCTCAAGCTTCTCCACATCCTTTTTGAATTGTGGAGCCCAAAACTGTACGCAGTACTCCAGCTGCGGCCTCACCAACGCCTAGTAAAACAGGAGAATGACGTCCCGGATTTGCTTGAGAAGCATCTATGGATGCAATCCAGTGTTTTGCTCGCTTTACTAGCCGCAGCATCACATTGCAGGCTCATGTTCATCTTGTGGTCAATGATGACCCCCAAGTCTCTTTCTTTCATAGTGCTAGCCAGCGTAGCACTGCCGAGCCTATAAGCATGCTGCAGATTTTTCCTCCCAAGGTGGAGAACCTTGAATTTTTCAGTGTTCAGTTGTCCTTGGGCCCAACAAGGAAAGCCAGGGCCCAGCCCTTGCCGCCCCCAGATACCGCACCCTCCACACTGGGTTCAGTGAGGCTGCCCATCCCAGGGTCTCTCAGCTCGTTCCCCAGGAATAGACTGCCCGTGGATGTGAGGGTTTCTCTGAGGCTCCCTGGATGTCGGCACTTGCCTGAGGAGCTGCCCCATATCCCCTCTCCTTCCCTTGCCCCGTGGGCAGAGCTCTGGCCTTGGCCCACACATGGCTGGGTTGGACCTGCTGGACGATGTTGCACTGACTCCATTGGAAGGGTGTTATTCAGAGGCACGAAAGCCCTGGGGCAGCTGCTGAGACCCAACTCGGACACCCTGTTACCCCCAAGTCCCTGCAGGACTGCGAGCAGGCCCCGCTCTGCATGCACCGCTGCCCCCATCCCTGGGGCTGCCTTTGGCACCCAGCACCACTGCCTGTTCCGGGAAGCCCCTGGGTGCCTGTGTGGACTCAGGATGCCTCTCTAGCCCCAGCTATGGGGCAGCTTCCCCTAGCCAGGTCCATGTCCCCTGGATCCCGCTGCCTTCTGGGATGGATTGTGGCACTGGGGGCTTCCACCCTATCATGGAGGGATGAAGGCTGTAGTTGCTGGCCATCCTCTGCCCTAATGGATGAGGAGCTTGGTCCCTTCAGTAGGGCTGTTGTAAGCCATGGAGTAGGTTGCTCAGCCTGGGGAGGCAGGTGTCCTTAGGGATCTGTGTTGCTCAGAGGGGATCTTCCCCCTTGCCTTCCAGGGTTTTGTACGAAGGGTGGGAACTGGCCCCCGTCTGTCTCTGCTGCCCCCTCGCAGACAGATTTCGCAGTGGGCCAGCAGGTGCTGGTGTCCTGTCTCCAAGATCGGTTTGAGGAGGGCTCATTCCCGATGACGTGCGTGGAGCAGAATGGGCGTGTGGAGTGGGACACGAGCCACGTGAACTGCACTGGTGAGTTCTGTGCACAGAGGATGCAGGGGGGCTGATGCGGGATAGGGGTATTAGAAATATACTCTGCAGATTGAAGAAAGAGAGCAATGCCACTGAACAGGGGAAAACCACGGAGGAAAACCCCTGCCTGCACCATGCTGTGTTTCATAGATTTCCTAGATTTCCTAGACATTCGGGCTGGAAGGGACCTCGGGAGATCATCGAGTCCAGCCCCCTGCCCCAGGGGCAGGAAGTCAGCTGGGGTCATAGGATCCCAGCAAGAAAAACATCCAATTTACTCTTGAAGATGTTCAGAGTAGGTGCTTGAACCACCTCCGATGGCAGACTATTCCAGGCCTTGGGGGTGGGACAGTAAAGAAGTTCTTCCTTATGTCCAGCCTGAATCGGTTGTGGCAGTAGTTTATAACCATTCGACTTCGTCATCCCTTGGGGCGCTCTGGTGAACAAACGTTCCCCCAGATACTGGTGGTCACCCCTGATAAACTTGTAGGTGGCCATCAGATCACCCCTGAGCCTGCGCTTTCCCAGGCTAAAGAGGCCCAGGGCTCTCAGCCTCTCATCGTAGGGTCTGCTTCCCTGACCTCTGATCATGCGCGTGGCTCTTCTCTGGACTCTCTCAAGCTTCTCCACATCCTTTTTGAATTGTGGAGCCCAAAACTGGACACAGTACTCCAGCTGCGGCCTCACTAAGGCCGAGTACAAGGGGAGAATGACGTCCCGGGATTTGCTTGAGAAGCATCTATGGATGAAAGCCAGCGTTTTGGTCGCTTTACTAGCCGCCGCATCGCACTAGTCTCTCCTCGTAAGGCTTGGTCTGTAGGCCCTTAACCATACGAGTGGCCCTTCTCTGGACCCTCTCCAGGTTATCCGCATCCCTCTTGAAGTGCGGCGCCCAGAATTGCACGCAGTACTCCAACTGCGGTCTGACCAGCGCCCGATAGAGGGGAAGTATCACCTCCTTGGATCTGTTTGTCATGCATCTGCTGATGCACTATTGTGCCTTTAACTTTTCTGATGACTTTGTCACACTGACGACACATGTTCATCTTGGAGACCACTAGGACTCCGAGCTCCCTTTCTGCTTCCATGCCACCAAGGAGGTCATTCCCTAGGCTGTAGGTGTGCTGGACATTTTTCCTCCCTAGGTGCAGCACTTTGCATTTCTCCTTGTTGAACTGCATTCTGTTGTTTTCCGCCCACATGTCCAACCTGTCCAGGTCTGCTTGCAGCTGTTCCCTGCCCTCCGGCATGTCCACTTCTCCCCACAGTTTTGTGTCATCCGCAAACTTGGACAGAGTACACTTCAATCCCTCTTCAAGTCACTGACTTGTAACCCTTCCCATGCCTACTCTCTCTACAAAGAAGCTATCAGATATAGCCAGCCTTGTTGACCATGCTTGAGAGGGTTTGGGCAGGCCTTCTTGCTCCCTTTATTCAGCTGACTAAGGGAAGCTACTTTCTATGCTTGAGGCTACAAGAAGCACCCAGACATATCCTGCTGGGATTAAGCAACCCCTAGGTCTACAGGGTCTGTGAATCCCAGGTGGCACAGGGCCCAGACAAAGACCAGACCCTGGGTGGTGGCAGCGGTACCCCAGGCTTGCAGGTGTGCTCCAGGAAGGGGGTCGGCCAGATGCAGACACTCCAGGGCAGGTGCTTGGAGCTTGGTTTTTGGTTGGATGCAGTGAGGTGGGTGGCTCAGTGCAGGAGCACCCCTACTGGCCCACCACTGTGTCCACATCCATTATGTACTGGGGGAGCAAAAACTGGACACAGGACTCCAGATGTGGCCTCCCTAGTGTGAAATAGAGGGAAAGAATCACTTCTCTCGATCTGCTGGGAACGCTGTTACCAATGTGGCCCCGGATGTTGTCAGCCTTCTCCACAACACAGCGCACTGCTGACTCATATCCAGCTTATTGTCCGCTTGAAGAGGTGTCAAAGGCTCCTGGCAGATGATGTGGTGGTTTGGTCATGGTTTGTAAGTCCCTGCAGGGGAAATACTAATTTGATCACAGACGTACTCTTCTAGTGGAACAGGTCCCAGAACTGAAAGTCAAAACCAAATTCAGGCTAGAAGCGAGGGGGAATCACCAGTGTAACCATTTACTGAGAACAGCAGCGGATGCTTCTTTATGGGAAATCTTTAAATCTAACATGACAGTGGGATTTTTTCCTCTGAAGGAGCACTGTAGCTCCAGGAGAAGGTATGCAGAGAAGTCTGTAGCCTACATGAAAGTCCCATCTGCCATCCAGTGTGCACTCTGTACAACTTCAGAGAAGGCACCGGCACTGCTCGGTGAGCCAGCACGGAAAAGGGATTTTTTGTAACAATCACTTTAATGGGACAATAGTTAGAAGGAGAGGCCAGGTCAGAGGAAAATCCCAACAATGGTCAGGGTCTACAGCCAAAGATGCAGGAGTCAAGCAAATACCAATGGGCATGTTTACACATGAATATTAATGTGCAGCAATAAACTCCAGAGCCTATTGCTTCTGGGGATGCATCTGCATGTGACCTGGGATCACAGCACATTGAGCTGGGTTGGAGCAGCCCTGGCTGGCGTGGGGTCTGGGGGGACAGCCTGCCAGCCCAGGGCTGCTCCCCCCAGCTTGGTGTGCTGCAGAGGGGCTGTCTGGGGCACAGGTGTGCTCCCATGTGGAGCTAGCCAGCAGGCAGCCCTCCACTGAAGCACTTTCATGTTCCAGCAAGCCCCGTCAGCATCTACACGTGCGTTGCTATGGAGCAAATAACTCCACAGCAGGATAGTACTAATATTTACAAAAATTACTCTGGTGCAGAGTTCATTAGTTTTCTGTGACCTAATAGGGCTGCATGTGTAGATGCTGAGACTTTACTGCAGAACTAATGAGTCCTACTGCTAATTAGCTGTAAACATCTCATGTAGACCCACCCAGTGACCTGCATATTGCTGTCTGTGTTATGGAGTGGCTGAATCCATGTATTTGTGATGATTTAAGGGGCTCTCAACCTCCTGTCTGTATGGTTTTTAACTCTTTGGGCAGGGGCTTTGAAACCACCCATGCCGATAAAGCAGGGGACAGCAAAATATGACCTGTGGGCCAGATCTGGCCCACCTGTCTGTATGGTTTTTAACTCTTTGGGCAGGGACCTTGAAATCACCCATGCCAATAAAGCAGGGGACAGCAAAATATGGCCTGTGGGCCAGATCTGGCCCACCAGGCTATTCCATGCAGCTCGTGGGCACCAACCAACTAATTGTGGCTTCCTGAGTGTCCAGTGGCTCCTCCATGTCTCCCTGCTGTAGTGCTTGCTCTGGGCAGCAGGTAGGGAAGTAGTGGGGACGGGGGTTGGGGAGCTGCAGTGGAGGCAGGGAGCAAATATTTTTTGAAATAAAGTTAAAATATATTATAGCAGGTTTTTGACTTTTAGTGTATGATTTCTTTTTTTTTTTTCTGGTTTAGACGGCAAACCTCCCCTCCCAAAAGGAGTATGTCCAGGGGGCAAGGGGAGGGATCTCTTCTGGCAAAGGTCAGGGGTTAGGGGTGGGACTTTTGGTCCCAAGATGGCAACTAGGTTCAGGGCACCTTTCAAGGGGCGGGGCTCCCCTTGTGGCCCTCGATAGCTCACCATAACTCTGTAAGCGGCCCTCCAGATGAAATACTTGCCCGCCCCTGCTGTAAAGCAACTCATACTATTGGTTCCAGGCGGATTCATGCTAACGATGACACTATGACCATTCAGAATTGAAATGTGGGCAGTGGAGAATCAACCTGAGATAGAGCTCCTATGAGGAACTTGGTCAGGACGTGTCTTCCCCGCCGGGGTCTGTCACCCCGTGGGCCTGGAGTCCCAGTGGTTTGGCCACATCTGTGACACAACTGGTTCCTCCCTCCTACCTGTCACCCTTTTGGCCCCTCCACCCCAGTGGGGTGGAAGAGCAGGGCTCTTCTGTACTGGTCAGCCTCTATGTGCGAGGGGCAGTGCCATGCTGGGCCTCACCCTGTGGTTTCCTCCCATCACAGAGAAGTGCAGGAAGGAGGGCAGCTGGACCGCGAAGGTAACATTTGACTCTGAAGAGATGGAGTTTCCAGTGAATGCGACGGTGGCCGTGACGTGCAACAAGGGAACTGACCCCGGGCCGTTCAATGCAACGTGCAATATGACAAAGGATTACAGTGCAGCCTGGGACATCAGTCGTGTCAAGTGTCTCCGTGAGTGCACAAAGTCTGAGATAGTCCCTGAATCCCGGGTCCAGGGGGAAGGGCCAAAACTCCCCAGCCCTGGTGGCTCCTCCCAACCAGCTGGGACATGGGGCTGCAGCCCTATTAGTGAATGGCAAAGGCCAGGGCACAGGGCAGAGCGCAGCGAGACAGAGGGTGACATGATACCAGGGTGAGGGGAGATCCTGGGTGAAGAGCTGTGTTATCAGTCGTAGCAATGGGGAAGGAAAGCTGGGCTCCACATTTTAGCTTCTGAGCATGGGAGAAAAGGGGTATGGCCTCTGAACCAGGGCTTCCCAGACCTTCAGTGCTGGAGGCTGCATGGGAGAGAGGAACAGGGGGCTTGTCTTCCTCTTCAGTGAGGGCACGGCCCTCCTCCTTGGATCTCTCCAGTGCATTTTCACACCACTGCAGCATGGGACTTTGCAGCCCTCTTCCCCCTGCTTTCCCTGGGGCAGGCTCAGGGGCTCTGGGTGTCTTGGGCCGTGGGCCTTGCAGTTGTGCCACTGAACCATTTGAGTACATGACACCTGGACATGCTCCTTGCTCCCTGCCCCTCACCTCCACAGCCCAGCCCGTGGGGCCATCACGGCCCCTTTGTCACGTTCACAGCCGATGGGTGCATGGCTGGCAGACAGGGGTGATACCCAAGGACTGAGATCCCCTGGGACAGCACCCTTGAGCTGTGGGACTGGCCCTTTCACACTGCCTGTCCTGCCCCTCTCCCAGGGATGTGCAACACCTGGGCCAAACAGGTCGACTTCAGCTCTGCCCAGGAAGAGTTTGGTGTTGAA